TTAAAATAAAAATGTTTGTCATTTAAATAAAACTGAAATAAAATATAAATATTAGATGAAAATGTTTTAAGCTAAATGAAAATGAAAAAAAAAACGTTACATTGGCAACTATCTGAAATTAAATACTAAATAGTCTACTAAAGATAAAACTGAATTATAAAATTACTTGAAAATACAAAAATAAAAACTAATTCAAACTATGAATACAAGCTAAAATTATATATAATTCTAAACTAGCACTGTGAGGGGAGATTTTTCTCCTAATTTATGCTATTTGTTTTTCACAACATCTCACCTACACAGATGGTGTCACAAATCAAGCATAGGGAGCAACTGTCACTGATCCACAGAAGGAGTACGCATTTGTCTAATGGAACCGATACAAGGAAATACAGTATTCATGCTCATCTTGCATCCATTTCTGAACCATATACTTAGTAAAGGTTTTACATCAAAAACCAACATCTGAATTGTGCATTTTTTAGTCAAAGCATTTCTGGATCTAACGTTATTCTAATGTTATTCTAACGTTACTTTAACATTCCCCTAACATTATTTTAACGTTACTTTAATGTTACCCTAACATTATTCTAACATTCCCCTAACGTTATTTTAACGTTGCTCTAACGTTATTCTAACGTTACTTTGACATTCTCCTTACTTTATTTTAACACTATTCTAACATTACTTTAACATTAATCTGATGTTATTCTAACGTTGCTCTAACGCTATTCTAATGTTTTAACGTTATTTTTATATTTTTCTAACATTTGTCTAACGTTATTCTAACGTTCCCCTATAGGAGAGGTTGCACTGTAAAATAAAATGCTGACTTAAATTTTAAGTACAATCAACTTGGTTGTTTAAGTCATTTCAACTTAAATTACATTAAACTGACTTTAAAAAATGAGTTGAAATTTGTATAACTTGAAAATTGCTTAACCTATTTTGATGAGTTAAAACAATCTAAAAACATATGTTGTGATAACTTATTGATTATATATTTTTTTAGTGTAACGTTATTCTAAAGTTACTTTAACATTCCCCTAACGTTATTTTAACATTACTTTAATGCTATTCTAACATTATTCTAACGTTCCCCTAACGTTATTTTATTAATTTATTTACAGTCCAGGAAAGCACTTACACCACCTTCATAACATCTCAAGCACTTATATTTGGTCTTTGAAGTGTAAAGCCCCCTCAGCTCACAGCGAGTAGCTACAGGCCTCATTATTGATTTGCTGAAAGGCTGCCTGAATCATGGAGTGGATGTGGGGAAAGAGAAAAGAAAAATCAGGATGTGAATGTTTAATTATTTCCCTCAAAACAGTGTCCACGCTAATTTGTTTGTTTGTTTGTAAACTTTATTGTCCTTTTCCTGGAAATCTGTCTTGGGCTCAAAGCTACATAATACACCACATACATACAATTTACGCTTGCCAGCTCAAGCCCACGGGTCCTCCTCGGACGTGGCCCTATATTAAGAGTATAGCCACAAGGTCTTCTCATAATCTAAGGTCTGAGCGCATGGATTTAGCCTATATAAACATATCAGTACTGTGCTTCCCTTTAACCTTCATTGCCCTAGCTAAATCTTTCATCAGTACTGACATGGCTAAATGCATTCAGACTAAGAATAAGCAAAAACATAGACTTTATACCCTTCACGGGTATTTATAACTCAGTTGAGTGCCTCCTACCATCCTAATATCAAAAGGCTGAAGTCAATGATTGTGGCCGCTGCAGTGTGAGTTTCACTGTCTACTTTTGATTTAAAGTGTTTACTGAAAGAGAAGCTCCAGGAGTGTGAGGAATGAATTTGTTCTAGGAGGTGACAGAGGGGGGAAGACCCCTGTCGCCTCATTCCCTAAGCATTAGACACTGACATCCGGCATGACCTTGGGACTGGAACTTGATTGCAAGCGTTTGTTCACCGTTGACAGGCTTTACCGCCGCCTCTCCCTCTGTAAGATACAGACACCCATATAAGGGAAAATCACTTTTCCTGCACAAAAGACACATATTGTGCTCTAAAATGTTTTGTTTGATTCTTTTAACTGATTCGTTGGTTAACTTTTACTCTGACAAAACACTTTTAAGGGAAGGCCAGGCAGGTGTCTGTTGTTCATAGAGGTACACTTCATGCTCTAAAGTATGCAGACCCCCTATGTTTAATTAACAGGTTTGACCATTTAAGCTAAACCCATTACTAACAGGTTAGACAAACATTTTTAGTAAATTGGGGTCTTTTCTGCTCTAACATTACAATTGCCTTGTGCACAAAGTGCAGGTCCATAAAACAATAGTGTATTGAGTTTGGTGTGGAAGAACTTGACTGACCTGCACTTCAACTTATTGGATTCTGGTCCCACAGGGCCCCTTCCTTAGCGGCAGACCCTTTATCCAGTTACTTCAACAGCCAATTAGGCAAATGAAAGAAAAAAGAGAAAATAAAATACAGTACTTATTTAGGTTGGATAACAATTAATGAAAAAAATATATATATAGTGGTTATGTACCTTAGCTTTATGTGTTATGGGGCCTGTGGGGGTCCTGAGGATTTAGAGGCTGTGGGACAATGGCATGGTCCATAATCTAGTCCTATTTGAATCCCACCAGACCAGACACATTTGGAATAAATTAGAATAGCAACTGCAAGCCAGACCAGATTAAAGGCCCATTTACACCAAGAACAAAACTATAACGATTAATGATAACTAGTGGTCAAACGTTATGTCCAGAGGGGATATTTGTTTTTACTGACCCTACCAGTTTGATTAAACAACACAATCTCATGAAAGTACGTATCTATAACACAAATTTTACAAAACACAGTTTTTGAGTGCATATAATACGCACTGTAAACCCCTTGATTAGGGGTGTGTAGTGCGTGCATTTTTTGTATACGTATACATTTACTATAGCATCATCAGTTATTAATATTTTGTTGGTTCTCTCTTGTTTTAGCATGTGTTCATAATTTCTTTGTATGACAGCTTTGCCAAAAATGTTTGCACAATAAACTACGCAATACTTACAAAAATGTAACACATTTTTAATAATGTTGGATAAAAGGCAGAGATGTCACTTTTCCTGTGCCGGACATCACTTTTGGCCACTACTGTATATTACCGTCAACACTAATGCACTTTAAAGGAGGAAGGATTTTGATTGGTTGTCTGTATTTTTATTGTTCTTCAGCTGGAATGGTTATTTTAGTATTTTTATTTACTATTATTCATTCATATTTTTAAACCGCTTTTGTTTTATTTTGAGTTTTCATTTAAATTTTTGTTTTAGTAATTGTGGTTTTGTCATTTTTGCCGTTTATACTTCTATTTAGCTTTAATTTACTTTTATATCACTTTGGGCTGGTTTCACAGACAGCGCTTAAATTAAGCCAGGATTAGGACATTTGGTGGTGGTTGAGGAAAGACCCCGACATGATTGTAAAGTGCGTTGGGTGTACTGTAGTACAGTACATGTGAAGTACATTTGTAGTGCTATACATATGAAAGTGCTATATAAATGCCTCATTCATTCAAGTAGCTTTTATTAACATGCCTTAGAAAAACACATTACTGGTGAGCATCTTGAGACAAAACAATGGCACTGACATATTTTAAGATTCAGTTAATACAGGTCAAACATGCCTTTTTTGTCTGGGACTTGGCTTAAACCGTACTTTAACTTATTTCAGTTAGTGGCCAAGGCAAAACTTCTAGTTTTTTAATGTTTGCCTCTAATATTCATATTTATTTCAGCTTAATTCTATTTAAAACAACTTTTAATAGTTTTAGTTTAAAATAAAAACAACATAAAATAACTGGCTTGAAATCGATTTCAACAATATTGTTTAGATGTGGAGTGGACTCTGCTATTCTCTTAAGAAAATTTTAACTTTATGGTTATAGTTTTTGTTCTTGGTGTGAACAAACTTTATTGCTTATGGCTTTGAAATGATACTTTTGTCAAATCCAGCCACCTTCCCAGACCCGGAATCAAGTTGTGTGTCCTGGCATCAGCCCCACACCTTCCACAAGAGTAAACAATCGCAGGCATCTGTGATACTTTTTTATTTAAGTCCTTTCAATTCACATTACATTGAAATATGAAATGCCTCAAATCAAACAACAACAAAAAACTAAATATATATTTGATAACTATCTATCTAAAAAGTGAGAGTACACTGAATACCATAAAGTTTACTGCATATCGACGTAAACAAAAAAAGAAATCCTCAAATACACTGAACTTTTTTTCCTTTTCATAATCTTTGGTAAAGGTAAAACAAATACTTTATAGAAGAAAATACTGTATTATACTTTACCACCTCATGTGGTTCTTTGTTAGCCCATAAAAAAATATCACATTAAAGAGCTAAAAGAGCAAACAGAACAAAGGAGCAAAAGGACAGTGAATAATAGAATGACACAGAAAAGAAAATGTCACTGGGTTTTGGAATACAGTCATCAAAACTTGATGTTTCGATGTGGATTATCACACGTTTCCCAAAAAAAAAAAAAAAAAAAACCAGTACTATGAGCATTCAGATTTAAGGTTTCTCTGTTTTTCAAGGGACACAGGATCACTGGAGTTGTGTGAGGACAGCATGGATCGACGTGGACCCCACAGGCACAAAGTAAGTCATCTCACAAACACTCGATCAGATGGATGGACGCCACCATCAGCACCCCACAGTCTGTGATTTTCCCCCAATAGCACCTTGAGGAACACTTGATTGATTTTCAACTTCATTCCTACCTGCTTGCAGCAATTCAACTGTAAGGTGTGTTTAAAACATATGAGATTTTTTGCATGTATGGTCACAGACACAAACCATGTGCCTTTGTGTGCTCAGGAAAGCACAAACGGAACATTTAGAATACCACATATCAATCTCTGGTCAGCAATGTAATACTTCATAGTTCAGAGATAAACAGTTTGACTCTCAATACAACACACACTTAATGTCATATTCCAATAGAACACATTGAGCAGATGAAGGCCACCCAGCTTACGAATGACGTTTTGTTGGTCCAGTCAGGCAGACGGATTTGGTCCAAATATGCTCGTAAGCATGAACATGCAAGCATGAACTCCACAATCAACTCGCTCAGGAGTCAAAGAAGACACGATGCAGATGCTTCTGACAAATGTACCCCAGAGCCATGTGATTCAATCAGACTTGTCCTTCTTCTTGCCTCCGCCAATGGGAACTTTGCTGGCAACGGCAGAGCCGACGGCGCTCACGCCACCAGCCACAGCAGACACGCTGCCCTTCACAAGCCCCACCCCCATCGCTGGCACAGACGCAACTGAGGTAACAGCAGTTTTCGTGAGATCAAGGCCTTTCCCTCCAACCCAGACGACTCCGCCCACTGTGGCCCCAACGGCCCCCTTCGTGACACTGAACAGACCACCGGCCACCCTGGAGAACATGCCAGGCTGGGGTTGGGGATGGCCTTTGTTGGTATCTACAGGAAATAAAAGAAAATGTTAATACTAAAAATATCATCACAAAAGATAATGGAGCAGCGGTCTAGTCTAAAAAATGTAATAAAAAAAAACACTTTATTGTACAGTGTCCTTGTTACATTAACTGTCATAATAGCAGTAAATAATGCATAATTGCATGCAGCTAAACCAAACCATAATCCTAACCCTATAGTAAATGCATGTTCTTAATTAATATTAGTCAGTACTTAAAAGGTATAATTACACTGTAAGAAAGACACCATAAAATAAAGTGTAACCAAAATAAAATGATCATGTGAATCCCTACATACAATTAAAAATACTATCCACATTTCAATTACAAGTTATTATTACTTAATTTAATTTCATACTTTAATTGTAGCTTTCACTTTCAATAAATGGAACAAAAAGAGTAGCTGGCAATATATTTCTGATGAACAATATGCATGATTTCACTTATTTATGCATATGAACAGTTTATCATTTAAAACGCAAACCTATTTTGTGAAATATTTTGCTTGAAGAGTGTGCTTGTGGCATCTTGCATTAAAATAAATGCCAGTTGATTTGAAAATTTGTCATCTAAAGCAATGCCAATCATATATTAGTGTCTAAACAGTTTTTTGGAGCAACATTTTATAACCCCATCTATTACTATGCACTGAAAAAATAAAGGTGTAGAAACTATTTTTTCACTCAGAAATTGCTAGTAAATTTCACACAAAAAATACAAAGAAACAAAGTAACAATTAATTACATTTAAAATTGTGAAGAAGAAAAACTGATTTGCATTTTATAGAAAAATTTACTTCAATAATCTTCTTCTACAGATCTACTACATATGACAATTAAGAAAATACAGGGCAGTGTCAGTCTTTGATTGTGCAAGAGCACCACTATGTGGCAGAGAGGGTTATCATTCTCTAGAATGAAGATGTACACAGGACAGCTGTAAAATGATTCATTTAGCATGACTATGCTAAGATACAAGCTTGGTTGTTGCAAGGAGGTATAACTGTGGCAAGTCACTCTGATATGAAATGTCAGAATAACTTCCAGTACCTGTTGGAGGCTCATCTTTCATGTATGCAGGTAACTCATCCTGTTGCTGGTTTGTTTCACTCATTTTTACTCTGCATAAAAAAAAATACAAACAAGATGTGGCAGTTAGAAAATGTGGCAGTCACTTATTCATTTTCCACAGAACATATTCTAATATGTCTTCTAAGCATCTGGGCGGGACAGACACAGAAAACCAGGTGAAAGGTTGGGACTAAATGTGGGCTTCATCAACCCAACAAACATCAACATAGGACCAGGAGGACCAGTTTACTCTGTCAACAAAATGTAACATGCACCACCCTGTTAACATTGCAGCAAATATTGAGAACAGGTACACGGGACTATTTTAAGACAAATAAAATTACTGCATATGGGAATTACCATACCAAGGCTCATAAATGGCTTGAAGCAATAATAAGAAATATATTAATATTAAATTGAAATTAGAAATATTTATTTTCATTAGTAAACCATATGAACATGAGTGAAATTAAGAAATCATAATTAAATATTAACATAGCAGCTGTGATTCAGAACTTCATTTTAATAATTTATTATTCTGAAGTCATATATTGGGACATTTACTCGGGACAATAAAGATAAAAGATAGCTCATTGAACAGTATATTAATACGTGTACAGTTACACGTAAGCAATCATAGATTGAGTGGAAATGAGTGTTAGAACATCAGGGTCTTGAAGCAACTTTATGACGTAACAACTGGAACAAGTAGGCCTACATCATTATAGTATTAGTAAAGGTAGTCAGACTCGTGTCATTGAATCGGTTCTTTCGAATTTAAAAGAACAGGTTGAAAAAAAATCAATTATTTTATGCCCTGGTCCAATTACATCATTACGTGGTCACCGACAGACACGATTCATTATGTTTCTGAGGTTCAGTCTGTTGCAGCCATGACTCATAAAAACAAAATAATTTAGACTTACATTTAGCCTAATAGGTTTAAAAAAAATGTTTTACATTAAATTAAAGTATCCAGTGTAACACTGTGTAATATCAAGTAATAAACATATATCCAGTCCGTTTTATTTGAAATAAATACGTAACTCTAGAACCACTCGGAGGGATTCTTTCAGTTTCAAACGATTCAAAAGAATGATTCATTCGTGAATCGAACGTCGCTATAAACCTTTTCTGTTTCTGAATCTGACGTGGCGGTTTTGAGAGAAGTATTTTCTTTCCCCGGGAATGAATAATAATAACCTGCACATAAATTAACTCGTTGTTTTATTTCACATTAACATTAAGCGTTAGGTAGGAAACAACAAAAAGGAGATTGGGTTTTATAAACCTTTATAAACCCCTTTCGAAGAAAACATGTTAACCAGGAGGAGAAAATGATAGCTTTGAAGAAAATTACACGAAAACAGGGCGGCAGCTCATTAAACGACAGTTACATGACGTTAGGTAAGAGATACACACTACTAGACAATCCAGCCATTGTCTGTCGATAAAGCTCTTGTGAATCACATCATATAACAAGAAGGAAATATCAACAACCCACTGTATAACATGCAAGAGGAAAACTTTGCCAGCTGTAGTGTATAACTTACCTACTGTGTTAGAAGTTTGCTGCTGTAAACTTCTGCAGATCAATTTGGAAACTTCTGTCTCCACCCCTTGTTTGTTCCAAAGGAAAAATATGGTGCTCCCTTCAGCAATTCAAAAAGACACACGCTAAAATGACGATAGATCTGGGACCTGACAAGACTTTTCTTATAAAGACCTATCTTTGAATAACGTGTACGTGGCGTCCTAGCTGTTTTTAACCACGTACCAGTGTGGACACATAGAAGAGGAAGTGACGTTTCTTTCTAGTTCATACCCCTCTGGTGTGTGAAATGACTCCATGCTTTGCCTGTATGTAAAGTATGATGAAAATGAAGGGTTTATCTTTGCTCTGTCCACTTGACCAGATAATTGACATATGGATCAGCTAACTTGTCTCTTTGAAACAACTTGTGAGAATGGACTGCAAAGTGAGAACTAAAAGTGAAAAGTGATTATACTCACTTTATAATTAACTCTAGTAAAAGTCTGTAAAAATAGGGCTCAATGTGCTGTTAAGAAACCTCCCTTATTGATTTTTCTCAAAGGTGCTTTACCTGTACTTTGAATAGCCCATTGTGTTGTTTTAGGGTTAAAATGTAGGTGAATAATGTCCTGTCAGAAAATGACCAGCTTTACCAATTTTCCTGCTGATTTTTTGTGAAGGTGAATCCGAAAGCATTAAATGATTGTTTAGGGTCGTGTGCTATTCAGAATCGAATTAAGAATGCCTTTTAAATTCAAATATTAATTTGAACATGATGTACAGTGGAATTGCAATTCCTTTTTGAGTTAAAATGGAATGAAATTCAAATTAACGTCACTGCTTTAAGTGGTTTAAAAAATACATTCATTTTCAATTACCTGTATAAACAGGTTTACGTTTATCATTCACACAACATATGTGGTATTTCTGAAAACATTTTATGGAAAATTGCAATATAATCACAACATTTAACAATGAACCATCTCTGAATAATGACTCTTGTCCAGGGCAACACTATAACTGACTGCTCATCCTTGAAATCTGTTTTATACTTCCAACATGGTGCTCTCACTATTCTCCGCTAATACGCCTATAATTTTCTAACCATTATTTCTGGTCCATGTCTTTATTTGTTAACTTTAATACGTGGTATAATGTACATACCTGCTCATTATCTCAAAATAAACCCCTTCAGAATGATACCACTTTGTGACTTATGGCTACATTACCACCTGCATTATTTTTCAATAATTCAAAAGTCAATCATCAATATCTTACTGATAAAATAATCAATGTTTGATATTTCACTGGTATATTTTATATAGCTCATACATTAATTTGGACCATGCACATGCAAAACAACAACAACAACCATGCACTAATTTACTCCAGAGACTATATATAAAACCAAACCACATGAAGCGTATTGACAAGATGGAAACTGAAAAGAACACCTAACTATTGTTTGTTGTAAGATTGTTTTATTTTCTTGAATTGTAAATTCCACTTTTCAATTCAACCTATAATGGACGCTGGTGGCTAATTTTCTCACGAACTAAAAGGGAGTCAGTTTTTAAAGCAACACCAAGTAACTTTTCCTCTGCGGTCGTCCTACAGGTTGGAAGCAGAATTGTCCATTTTCTTATGTCTCTTTAGAACTACAGAAACTCGACCCGGTCTGGAAATCTTGTGGTTATAGCAGATATAGGACTGCAAAGCGGAGGCATAAGTGCCTTTCACCCTGTTACGACTTGATGAACCACTGAAACGATTTTGGAAACATTATTTTAAGGTAAAAAATCTTACTTAGTGTTGCTTTAAATCAAAATTTTGGCCAACCCTAGAGGAAGTACTATTTTATTATAAGTCATAGAGTAGGGTGACCATATTTTGATTACCAAAAACCAGGACACTCGGCCCGGCAAACAGATACTCAAATGATACTCGAAGTTTACTCAAAGATGCCTTATAAATTTCAATACATTTAAAGTAGGCTATGCCTCCTCTGTATGGATAGAAAATTGTTATATTACAAGACACAAATTCAGATAGGCTTCTCAGAGGTTACTCAACATGTTTTATTATGACAGGTTTCAAAAATAATGAATGAAATAATGATAGAAATAATGTCTCTTCTGTATTAGAAAAATAAATATATTAATAATAAATATTTAAAAGAAATACCTCCAAATTGAACAAAGATTGCTCTTACAAAAACGAACTAACAAAATATATTTATATCTTTAGTTTTCTTCCTCTTTATCCTGTTTTTCTTCCTCATCCTCCTTGTTTGCCCATCTATATTTTGCTGTAGAGCTGATCTTTCCCAGCAGTTTTTTGAAAACCAGGACATTTTCATCATTTCATCACAAAAAACAGCCAGGACGTGAAAACAGGACATGTCCTGGGGAAACAGGACTGTTGGTCACCCTATCATAGAGATCCTGCTCTTGACTTTACCCTTTAACAGAGACATAAACTGTTACTAAAAGACTACACTGTGGATTCTTCTTCTTCTTTAGGTATTTTATGGCGGTTGGCAAATAAACTACGGATTGCATGTAAACAGGTGTTTTAACAAAAACCAGCAGCTCTTATTGGCTGATGATCTGCAGCAGCTGTCACAGGGGTGGTTTCCCGCCCTTATTCATAAAATGACGTATTTCCTGTATTGTCACGCAGCTTGTAATGTTTTGCGGGAACGGACTTGTTTATGTTTAGACTCAAATATGGTATTCAGTTTGCAGTAGACATCACGTGGATATGTAATTAATTCGCAATCTGTTATTTTGTCGCCAGATTTATCATATCGATTCGCTGCAGTTCGTGTTGACTGTCTTCCCTTCTTCCTCAGTCGGGTAAATAAATAAGGCAAGTAACTAATTATTTAGTTTTAGGCTTCATATCCTAGATATTTAACCTTTAAAAAGCATATTCCAAGTTTTTAGCAAAAAATCTGATATTCTAGCTTTTTGTGGCCGTCAAATATTATGTTTTAATCATGAGCAATGGGCAGTTTTGATATGGTCATATTAATGCAGCGTTTCGTCATTGGCTAACGTTACACTGTAATAATGTTCACTTGCAGCTCATTACACAGTGTAATGAATGAATGTGCAGATTATTGATCAACCAAGCGAGACATAAAGAACGGGATTGTGCATGGTCACGGATGTTCTGCTCATGTGTATTATAATGCAGAGTATTGTTTGCTATTTCTATTTTAAAACCAGACGGAGGCTTAATTGCTTGCACATATACATGCATATAAAATGTTCTAGAAAGCTTATGACCAAGCCTTCATTTACTTTCTTTGCTACTTTTTCAAATCCATTTTATATACAGATTTTGTTTGCCCTTATCCCTGATTCCAGACCTGACTTTATCTTAAAATATATTCATAATAATATAAGTTTACTTTATCTACTGTAGTTTAAATGGAAAACAAAAAAGTGTTTATGAAATGTGGCCCCAGTTGTGTTTCTATGGAAGAAATGACCAGTAAGCAATTCTTTTAGTGATTTATGTTGATACTGATAGCTTTGCATTAATTTCTATCCCCTAACTCAGGGGTGCCCAATCCTGTTCTTGGAGATCTGCCTTCCTCCATACTTCAGATCCAACCCTGAACAAACATACCTGAACCATCTAAATAAGTTCTTGGTGAGAAACTTGATAATTACAGACAGGTGTGTTGAATCAGGGTTTGAGCTGAACTCTGAAGGCAAGTAGATGTCCAGGAGCAGGATTGGGCATCTCTGCCCTAACTGGTTTGAATTCACAAATAGACAATTACTTGAGATACTTTAAAAAGTTCTAATATTGAACGCTGCTCCTTCATTTCACTGTACTTTGGCCACTGAGTGGCAGCATTTAATAACATTAGGCCTTCTGAACAGTGTGCTGATTGTCATTGGTAGTTTGTAATATTGTTTCTGCACCACTCTCTGTTTTTGATTTTAATGTGATGATGACATAAAAACAATTTCACAATAAAATCACTCTTTGAGGACTGCACGTTTAAACATACACTTGTAAATAACTCCCGTCTCATGAGGATCTTATGTATGTCTCTTTAAAAAGAACCTGCTCAAGTTATGGGGTTGTATCAATCAATCAGTCTGACAAATACCCCCCCCATACTAGAAAATTCTTTGTAAAAGATTCTACTGTCACTTTTAATCAATTTAGTGTACCCTTGCTTAATAAAACCCCTACACTGACTTACTGACCTGCTGGCCCTCATGGAGACTGTAACAGTGTCTCCACAATAGGGGGCAGCAGAGATAAAAAGATAATAAACAAAACAAAAAAATAGCTGTGTGCAAGAATATAGACATTAAAGCAATTTTAAAAAAATATATTTTTGAAAATCTGACAGTACTAAGACAGGCCTAGAAACAGCTATCCCCCCTGAGAATAAATGAGCATAACATTCCATACTAAACTAATTTTCTATCTTAGTCTTTTTTTAGCTGCTTATCGACAAACAGCTCAACTAATTAAGCTCAATTTGTCTGCAGTGAGAGGCCAGAGATGTGTGCTAATATCAGCACAATGACTCTGTGCTGTCTTACTAACTCTGAGTCTGACAGCCAGCTCATTCCTGCCCTGACTGCCCGTTGCTAACCTCTTCTCCATGGTTTCAGTCACACCACTGGTCATGTTGGTTTTTCCCTCTTCTTTGGAGAGAAGCCCCTGTGCCTATGATTGGTGAAGTCTCTGTTAGACAGCAGATTTAGGTTTCCATGTTGTTTGACTGGATGTTTCCTTATTTTTTTCAAAATAGGCCAAAATAGTGTTTTGTTTTTTGCCTCCTCTCCATAGTGAGCGTTAGTTAACAGGAATGTATGCATGGGCATAGTGCACTAAAAAAAATGTATCTTAAGTTTTCATGTTCGTAGGGCACAGTTGTTAGGCACAAGGCAGAACAGCGACTCAGCAACAGTGTTGCAGAGTCCGTGGTTTTCCTGTGGAATTGGGCTACTTTTACACTGTTGTGTTTATAGAGTATTTTTACGGCTTCGAACATGTCCCAGACAATCATAATCAAGTACCAAAATGATCCATTTTATTAAAAGTATTTTAATTTAACAAACTAGTTTTTTTCTACACAAATAATAATAATAATAATTGTAATAACATCAATAATAATAATGATCATTTATTTATGATTTATCAAAATATAGTGAATCATTTATCAAACTAATGGCAATCATATATTAATAATATATATATATATATATATATATATATATATATATATATATATATATATATATATATATATATATTAGAGCTGTCAAATGATTAATCACGATTAATCGCATCCAAAATAAAAATTTGTGTTCACATAATATATGTGTGTGTACTGTGTATAATTATTTTGTATATAAATGCACACACGTATATATTTAAGAAAAATATGTTATTTATATATAAAATGTTTATATTTATATAAAATATACATTATATATAGGCTACATTCAGTCTATATACAGTATATACATGCAAATATTTCTTAAATACACATGCATGTTTGGGTATTTATGTATTAAAAATAATTATACACAGTACACACACATATATTATGTAAACACAAACTTTTATTTTGGATGCGATTAATCGCGATTAATCGTTTGACAGCCGTTATATATATATATATATATATATATATATATATATATATACATATTTTAAAACAAATGATTAATTTTATTTTCTATAATTGTATTAATATAGAGATTTAATAATTTATCAAACTAATGGCTATTAATAATTATAGAAACAATAATAATTGTTGTTATTGTTAACAATTTATCCAAAAATAATTAATGTTTTTAATCAAAGTAGTGGCATAATAATAATAGTTGTTTTTATTATTAGCTGCTAGTTTGGTATTTTTGGATTTCATTATTACTGTTAAAATATAACTATGAATTGGTAAAAATAATGTCTTAAAGTCATGAATATTAAGACTTTTTTTTTTTAAGGCTTCCCACTTCAGGACAAGTTTTTTTTAATGCATTCTGAGTCCTTGACTTTGATAGAACAGAGAAACGCATTGTACTGTAGATGTCTGTGCGAGTCTTAATAACCTCAGCTGTGAAATATTGGATGTGCACAGCAGTGTCTCTGTGGTTAGCGGGGAGTCAAAGGCAGTGACCTCCCATTCCCTGTAGTTTTTAATAGTTCCTCAGGAGTAGCCATTACACCATTGGAAGTGGGAGAGGGGAATCTCATAAGGACTTGCCTTGATGGGCTTAAAAAGATTAAATGGCCAACAATTGACTGATTCAATTTCATCTGCAGCTATAGCTTTGTCCGTTAAGACACCAGTGAGTTGAATTGAGTCATGGCCGGTTATAGTGGGTCTTTCTTGTTTTGCAGGTTGCCAGATTTTGTTCACACTCATCTGCATCCTGCGGCCCCTGGTAGTTGTTTATCACTCCGAACACTGCCCCATTGTCATTGTGCTAACAGTGTCCCTTTCGGCTGTGATAAGGTGCGTCGTTGAAAGGCCCGTCTTATCGCATTTGTATGCTGTGACGCAGGCCTTGTTTTATTGCATGTATTTCTTTGTATTCCCTCTTACCTTTTATTCTCTCACTCCTTCTCTGTCTGTCCCAGTCACTGTCCGTCATTCATCCTTAGAAGATGTCAAAGGCTTGAGAAATGTCCTCTCAAGGCTCCAGGCATCTTCCTCACCTCTCGCTTCCCACAAACTCTCTTTATTGGATTCTACCTCTGCATCATCTGTCTCCATTCACTCTCCTTTTTTTGGTCTAAATGGCCTCCTCCTTTCTCCTCCAGCTGGGTTTGTTGACACACAGTCAATCCTGGACACTTTCACCCCCCACACACACACCTCTTGTACCCGTTCCCCTTCCCCGAGCTGTAAAGCTGCCACAGCTGTGGGCTGTTGAACGAAAGTGGAGGGGGACATTAAATATATTACAACCATTAGCTTTGTTGGGGCTTGACAGTTTTAATACGTTGAAGCTTTTCGCCAGCCAAAGGCAGGACACAGCAGAGCTCTGCTATGATTTTAATTACACTTTAAATATTGTGATGGGTGGATTAAGAAAGGTAAAAGAAAAAAGCAACTAGCAATTCATGTCATCTCTTTTAAAAGTGTCTTCTAAAAACATGTCTTTTAAAAAAAGTGCAACTTTTCCTATTTTATATATATATATACTATATATTTCTTTTCCCTGTTATTAGAACAAATTTTATTTAAAGACATAGTTACAGCATTTACAAGGTACTGTAAAAACATACTCACACATGCATACCAGGGTTGGTAAGATTTTGTTTATGAAAATCTCTTATGCTCACGAAAGCTGCATTTATTTGATTACATTTTTTTTAATACATTTTTAAATTGTAATTTGTTGCTGTGATGGCAATGTTGAATTTTCAGCAGCAATTACTCCAGTCTTCAGTGTTACAGTTAGCCTACTTGATCCTTCAGAAATCGTTCTTATATGGGGTCAACTCAATCCTTAAAGGGGTGGTTCAGGATTTTGGACATCGGACCTCATTTCCAAGTTAGCTTGGGTGTTATTTATCAGTGGAGACAGTTTTCAAAAAATTTCATCCAGTCCTTTGAGTTGCATAGTTCGCCGGTGCTAGGCTAGCGTGAGTCAACGGTAACTGCTAGCCTGCCATTAAAAGCAGTTTTACCCACTCCACAGTACACCACAAGCAAATAAATTATAACGGCAGACTTTCGATGTAAATGTCTGTTGATAATGTTAGAAATCAAAGTACTCTTGCATCTCAATGATCGCATTACATTTACAGGAACTAGTTTCTCAGCAGCGGCGGAATTTTACTTTGTTTCGATTAGTAGTACTGCGCCGAAAAGTAATCACAGAAGCGCACTACAGTCGGGACTACTGTACTACCTCTCTCTACCTCTCTCGGTTGCCTAGGTAACTTAATATGACTCCGCCGTTGCTGTAGACTGTGCTAATAAATACAGGGAACAAAGTATAACTATTGCAATGCGATGAAAGGGTACTTTGATTTCTAACATTATTCTCTCAACAGACATTTACATCGATAGTCTGGTATTATAATTGATTTGCTTTTGGTGGAGTGGGTAAAACTGTTTTTAACGGCAGGTTAGCAGATACTGTTGACTTGCGCTAGCATAGCACCGGCGAACTACAAACTGGAAGAACTGGATGAATTTTTTTGAAAACTGTCTCCTCTGATAAATAACACCCAGGCAAACTTGGAAATGAGGTCCGATGTCCAAAATCCTGAACCACCCCTTTAATGTATATGAAAATATATGCAGTTTTCTTGAGCTATAGCTACATTTGCACATCAGCAAGTAAGTTACAGCATTGCATAAAATCTAAGCTTGCTTAATATTGCAGCCTTGCAAGGACTGATATTTCCTTCTAAAATCTTGCTTTACTTTTAGAAATGAAAACTTACACCAATAAACTTAAAGGTGCTCTACGTAACTTTTAGCGGCCTCTAGTGGTGATGTTTCAGATTGCAACCAAATTTTACAAGAGCGCTCGTGCTCGAACTCATAGACAATACCGTCTATTACGCAAATATCTCGGCGAATACTTGACGGATTCGGCGAGCACCGAGCTCGTTGGGACCATCTAGTCGAGCTGAAAAGAACCATATAAGTTCCATAGTTTTTGGTGTTTTCGTGGAGATATTAGCAGAAAACCATCGGGCGCGCTGCAAAATTGCGGACGCCGGTGACGTCACGATCTCAGAAGAAAATCGCTCGTATCTCTGGAACGCAAAGACCCAGAGAGCTCAAATTCGGGGTAGGAGGTCCCAGGGGAACCCTTGCCCGAACGCTAGAGTGGCGGGCCTCGGGGATGCCCCCTACCGGATCGCCGTTCGCTGGGACCCCCGATTTCGAACGGCTATAACTCAGGGAGCAGGGCGAGTTGGACCTCGGGGGTGGGCTCGGGGTTTGAAAGGCCCCGTCCAGCACTACGAACGATTAGAGTCTTGGGAATATTGATCAAATATTGACTGAGATATAAGCCGAAAAACGCGCGCCTTTAACAGGACGTAACTCCCTGACCATCTACAATAGACTGTATATAAGGAGAGAGGCTCGAGAGCGCGCATGCACGTCACATCCGTTGGATTTCGCGGTAAATCCGACCCGGAGACTTCACATAGAAATAGGAATACTGGCCTTCAGAGGTAATAGCAAAACTCGACAAGTGGATCATTTTAATGTGTGATTACAACCCCTTCACACACAGGCAATAAAAAAAGGATTCATTTTAGTAGAAAAGTTACATAAGAGCACCTTTAAATGTGTCTTTCCAGGTGTCACCATGAGCAAGGCGAAGTCGAGTAGGGACAGAAGGATCAATCCGCCTGGCGTCACCAGGGTGACCCGCAGTTCTATCATCACCACTCAGGACTCTCAGCGCACTAAACCTACAGATTCAGGCCTTGTTGATGATCTCAGCCTAATGAGCGTGAGTGAACAGCAGGCCTTGTTAGCACGGTGAGATGCCACATCCTTATGTTATGCTTTCCAGCAAACAATCAGAAATTACAAAAGCTTGTTTTCCAAGCAAGATTTAAGCATTTGTAAAACATACATTAGTGGCAAAGAAATAAATGTCCAAATGAGATATTTATTTTGTATGGCCCTAAAATTGATTAAATTATCAAAATATGAGAGTATTTTTTTTAAATATTAAGGAAAAATAAAATTCTAAACTTGGTTAAGGTATTCATCTGACAAAATTATTTGTTGGTTCTCTCTTGTTTGAGCATGTTCATTAAATGGACAAACCCACTTTTTCTAGTTTGAGTGGCATTTTTACTTTGGAAAAGGGAAAAAATTACCATCACAACTGTTTCATGCTGACTTAAAAAAAACTTGGAAAACAAATTAGAACCGTTGCCTTTGCAACAGAAGAAAAAAATAGTGCTGAAATGACTAAAAATAAATAAATTAAAGCTTAATTGTAGGGGTGTAACAAGACACTCATGTCACGATTCGATACAAATCACGGTACTGAACTCATGATACGATACTTATTGTGATATTTTAAGCCAAAACGTGTTTTTATTATTATTGAAATAATATTGTTGTTGTTTTATTATCAGGACTCACAACTATTCCTCCATTGCATTATTATACATTATATTTAGTAGTTTAATGTAGTAATGCTAATGGCATTGAAACTCTGTACATTTTCATTTTCTTCTCACGCAGTACTCGCGCTTTCAATGCAGGCATTCGTTGGATAAACCGCGCACACACACTCCCAGTGCTCGCTATGTCCCGCCTCTCGCGCTATTAATGCACTACACATACAAGAATAAACCATCGAAAACTCTTTGAATAATCATACTACTAAAACTAAGTCTAATGTGGTGATTTAAATGATGTTTGCGATTTCACTGAGGAAGGCTGTTCCAGTGAGTGTATGAGCTTCAGATGATCAATGCAATCAATCACAGTTCTAATCATAAGAAAGCATGTCAAAATGACTATTCCCAGACCCAAACTAAATGTTAATTCATCCAAAAATATTAATTCTGCAATTACTTACTCTTGTGTTTTCGCGCGTCACACAATTATTTGAACGTCCGTGTTTATTACAGTATGCGCGTTGTGGTAAATCTGTTCATCATATAAAGCCATCGTGTCTCTTCAGAACACTTGGATTTGGATTAGACCACTCGATTGATCATTTTTATGATGCCTATGACATTTTTGGATCTTTTAAGTTGAAGGAATGGACTTTAAATGGAAGGACAGAAATCTCTCAGGTTTCATAAAAAATATCTTCATTTGTGTTTGAAAGTTGAATAAATCATAGCTTTAAAACTACATGATATTAAATTAAATTTTTGTGTGGATTATACCTTATAAATACAGTAAGCTGAGCTTTGGATAAAACTAACTCTGTATCGTGAATCATATCATTTACATCAATACACACATTTTTTTTAATATCGTGACATCTCAATCGTGACATACCAATGTATCGTTACACCCCTACTCAATATTTTTATGTTTGTTTATTTTTCTAAACATTTTTCCTTCTTTTTAGGGAAGGGAAATCCTACCAGAGTCCCAGCACCAAATCTTTTCTCTCCTCAGCCTCTGGCAGCTCTGTCCCCCGCGAGGCTTTGGGAACTATCGGCAGAATGATGAAGCTCGGACGGGTGCGAAACATTGTGGTGGTTGCTGGAGCAGGTATCAGCACAGCCAGCGGTATACCAGACTTCAGGTGGATACTTACTGAAAACCTTTAAACTACCTCTAAATCATCATGTCACTCAGTTAACAACTGTCTCTATATCAGGACACCAGGGACGGGTCTTTATGCAAACCTTGCGAAGTATGACATCCCTTATCCAGAGGCCATCTTTAACATTGACTACTTCTCTGACAATCCTCATCCTTTCTTCTCATTGGCTAAAGAGCTGTACCCTGGACACCACCGTCCAAACTACGTTCACTATTTCATCCGTATGCTGCATCAGAAGGGCCTGTTGCTCCGCATGTACACTCAGAACATCGATGGACTTGAAAAGCGTGAGATTAAAGTTCAAAATTCAACTCACGTTTATTTGTGTAGCGCTTTTCACAATTACAATTTAGAGTGTTCTGTTATCAGAGGTAACTGTCTAAGTTATGTATTTCAGAAATGTACATATACAAAATCTAAAAATACTTGTTTGTTAACAAATGATTGACATTTAGAAAATATAGCATTGGTGCATGCCAATTCAGAGTTTGCGTCATCTGAAGTCTTCGCGGGGGTTGGCACAGTCTCTTCACAGGTGTTGGGCATCTGAAGTCTTCATAATAGGCTGGATCTCCAATCTGGAGCTGACATACTCTCTAGTTACCTCAGAATGGGCATCCCAAGATAAAACAGAGAAGCAAATAGAAAATAATTAGCGTAGCTGCTGTTCATAACATTAATCAAGGATAATCATGTGCATTTGATCTGATATAGCTGTATAAGGTTAGGAGATGCATTATATGAATGCTAGGCTAAAGAGATGCATCTTTTTAGCCTAGGAGAGTGAGTCTGAGCCCTGAACATTATCAGGAAGGCTATTCCAATAGTTTAGGAGCCAAATGTGAAAACACTCTCCTTCCTTTAGTGGACATAGATATTCTAGGTACTATCAAAAGGCCAGAGCTTTGTGACCTTAAAGACGAGCATGATGGTCTGTAGGGCGATAGAAGATTAGTTAAATGCACAGGTGCTAAACCATTTAGGGCCTTCTAGGTCAGTAGCAATACTTTGTAATTGATACGGAACTTAATAGGTAACCAGTGTAGAGATAATAAAATTGGTGTTATATGATCATATTTTCTTGACCTAGTAAGAACTCAAGCAGCTGCATTTTGGACCTAATTGTAGCTTGTTTATTAAGGATGCAGGACAACCAGCTAGTAATGCAAAAACGCAATTTCAAAAGGGATAGTTCACCCAAAAATTGTCATTTACTCACCTTCGTTGTTCCAAACCTGTATGAATTACTTTTTTTCTGCTGAACAGAAAATAAATTTTGAAGAATATGGGTTACCTAACAGTTGGGAGACCCCTTTGACTTCCATAGCATGGGGGAAAAAATGCTACGGAAGTCAAGGGCCCAAACTTCTTTCAAATATCATCTTTTCTGTTCAGCAGAAGAAAGAAATTCATACAGGTTTGGAACAACTTGAGGGGGAGTAAATGACAGAGTTTGGAACTCCATTCAAACATTGAAAGTGTTATTGCAGTGTTATATTCTCAACCCTGTCTGTAGTGTGCGGTATCCCAGATGACAAACTCGTGGAGGCTCATGGGAGTTTTGCTACTGCTGCCTGTCACCTCTGCTATACGCCATATCCTGCAGAGGAAGCCAAGGTAATCAATTTTGTAATTTAGATCACTCATAGATCACTACACACTGTTTTAGCACACTACATAATTTTCCATTCTTTTTTATTAGCAAGCTATAATGAACGGCAACGTACCCATCTGTACTTTTTGTGCCGGGGCAGTCAAACCTAATGTTGTTTTCTTTGGAGAGGATCTGCCAGAAAAGTACTTTCAACATGCTGAAGATTTCCCAAAAGCTGACCTTCTCATGATCATGGGCACTTCTTTAAAGGTGGGTTTAAAATCTTTATTATTATTATTAACAATAAAAAAATGGATATAAATCTATTTTGTAAGTGTAGTTGACTGTAGTTCTTTTGCAGTGAGAGATTATTACACTTTATTTTAAACCGTGTTTTGGTGATTTTAATTAATTTATTAACTTTTACATACAGCTTTTATGAGTTCTTTGTTATTTTTTAATAACCTTTTTTACATGGCATTAATGGAACGTTTGTACTTTTTAAAAAATGTATTACACCACATGTCAAAATTAAGAATAAATAAATACAAGTGTGTGGGTGTATATATATATATATATATATATATATACATTACTTTTTGTGCTCATTACCAAAGCTGCATTTTGGTTACTGATGTATAGATATATATTTGTAAATCAAAAACAAAACAGTAGTATTTAGAAATATTCTTACAAATGAAGAGAACTTTTCTGATTTACTATATTTTAAAATGTGACTATTTCTGTGATGGCAAATCATCATTACTCCAGTCTTTCACATGATTCCTCAGAAATCATTCTAATATGCTGATTTGGTGCTCAATATATTTTTTTTATGATCCATGTTGAAAACTGTTATGCTGCTTAATATTTTTTATGGAAACTGAAGCTTTTTGTTTTTCAGGATTCTTTGAATTGAAAGTCTTTACTTTTGCTTTATAAATTTAATGCATTCTTGAGTCATTTCTTTATATATGTGTTCTTAATATTATAAAATCTAAAATTATGACATTTAATCTGCTTTGTGACAGATTGAGCCCTTCGCCAGCCTGATTAACACCGTAAAGTCCACAGTGCCTCGTCTGCTGCTGAACCGCGATGCGGTCGGGCCCTTCGAGCGGAGGCCCCTGAGGAGGGGCGACTACATGGAGCTGGGGGATCTCTCCGATTCGGTCCGAAAACTTGCAGAGATCCTGGGGTGGCATACTGAGATCCAAGACCTGATGAACAGCCATGAAAATGGTGTTTGTTCCTATACTGACCCCAGCAGTAGCAGCGGTGAGAACAGTGACTCCTCTGAGACTGATAGCATGCATTAATATCATCCACAGAGATGCTCTGTATGTTTAAAATAACCTTGGCTATGGAATGGAGACCTGGCAAGGGTTCAAGACCTGCATTGATATTTATCTAATTCAACACATCTGAATGTTTTATGTCAGTGTTCTTACCAGTATTTAACAGCCAGTTTTACTGTATTTGTAGCGGTTTCTTTTTCTGACCAGATGAACTCCAGTCATATTTGTTCAGGCAGTGAAACTTGGCCATGTTTAGACTCATTATTTTAAACCCAGCAGAAATCTGTGTCTGCTGCTTATTTTGACTGAAAACCCATATCAGAATATCTTGGAAAATCTGGCTCTTTTAAAGTCCGTAATGTATACGCAGAGAGCTCTAGCAGATTTAGCTCTACTTAAATGGCTATAATTGTACATTTTTATCAGGCCCCGTTACTGCAGGGGGGGAAAACTACAAACATGGCACTTACTTTTGATTGTTTTTAATAATTTAGTATGGCTAATTATCTCTGGGCAAGCCAAGAATGTATTATGTCAAGGTTCCTTCAGCATTCTACAAACTGTATTTGATATTTTAATCTGTTTGGAATAGTTGGTGGTATATTTTGGTGCAGAAAGGAGTTTTTGTGTAAAGGATTGGGAATAATGTGTGTTTGTGTATTTATAAATGTGTGTCTGTCTATATATATTCATGTTTGCTAGTTGTAGGTTATTTCATAGTCCGCGAGTCCTGGTTTGGCCCCAGTGAGCGAACTGTGCTAAATTAGCATGGGAGGCGTGACCTCCCAAGTGTGCAGTGCCCCCACTGTGTGTTTTCACAGGCACTGTAGCCTCCAAGCGGGAGCTCCAACCCCACCCCCCACCCCCCACAACTCTAATAAATGTCTTTGGTCAGCCACAAAGAACCCCAATATCCTGCTGCTGCTGTTTGTGTGTGCGAGAGGTGTGTGTGTGTGAGAGGTTCTGCGTATGAGCGCAGTTCCATTTTGCACAGGATCAGTGAAGTCGCTGGTAATTGCGTTGAGATCGTATCTGTTCATGTCCCTCAAGGATTTTGAAAGGAGTTTGGCATGTTTTGGACAAAAAGCCTGAATGCCCATTTAAATGTTTCAATCCATCAGATTTTTTTATTTATTCATATGTGCAGTCTGTTTGGTTAAAGCCTGTTAACCAGCGGTCTTTGTCAGTGTTTCATGCAATGGTTGCATTTTTAAAAAAAAATTTGAACCATGTGCCTCTCCAGTTGAATATATAATTGTCAATAGTTTGAGCTTGCATTTGTTAACTTGACATTGCTATTTGTGCTTTGAATATTAAAACGCTTGTTTTCTGTTCTGTACTTTTTTTTTTATTACTCTGCTAATAGACATTGCATCTTATAGTATTTAATAAAAATATTAATTTGTCTCTTCACCCTCTGATCTTTTTGTACATAGCATCTGATCAACTAAGGAATATTACATTTACTACAGATCTGAGTGTAATATAAAGAAATCCATCCAACACTGAAATTTGGATACTAAGGATCTTATTTAGTGACGCAACAGTCACATTCAGTATCCTCAAGCAATCACTTGATTGTGTAGTTTAATAAATAAACTTTGTGATATAATCTTGCATTAGAGCTAGGATAAGTGTTTTAACTGACCTAGCATTTCTTTGGATTTTTATATTCAAGGGCAATATTACGAAAACCATTAGAAAAGTTTCTGCATGCAATGAGTGAATGACTTGTAGGATTTTATTTTATTGCAAATGATTGTCTGAAATGAAAAACAAGCTTAATTTAAAAGTTGAGGGAAACTTAATTTATACAAGTTTTACAAAGCCCCTTTACTCCGCTGACTTTTATTATAGTGGTAATAGATGAGTATTTAGAAAATCTGAATTTAATTACATGCTTTGTCTTGTGTAGAAAACTGAACATTAGAAAAAGGAACAAAATGACACTGACAGCATTGAAAGAAAAAAAGGAAACAAATACATAGTATATAGAAAATTGTGTAGCTAAAATATATAACATTAGAAAAGACAGATAATTGTTTGAAACTCAAGGCTTAAGTGGTAGACACAAAAAAGGACATTTTGTAAAAACATTTGAGTGCAAGACAAATAAAGTAAATGATCTAATGGCTTGTCTTGGCATATAACATTTCAAAAGCCATTCAAACATTTTGAAACGTTATAAAACCGGATTCTTCAATCTGTGAACCAGCAACAGCCACAGACCGTAATATATAAATACAGCTTTTAAACATTGATTTGTAAGAGTAAGTGTTATAAAGCCTTTCTACTCCATTATTGAAGACCAAGTGCATTTACTTGTTCACAAAGAGCGTCAAAGACATGTGAATAACAGTTCCATCTGATCCATCACATTTGATCACATCCAGATATCTATTTAAACATTTCTGTTTCTTATCTCTCTCTGCTCAATATGGACTTCACCATATATGTCCCAATTTGAAAAAGACATGCCCCTCGTGCAACAAAAGTAATTGAAGTATCGCCTTGTGCAAGGAACAGTTTGTAATGTAAGACTGACGGTTAGCCATCAGCAGTGGTGCCTGTAGGGTTTCGGTGAACTCCAGTTTAGTCTGAGTCTGAGTCACTGCTGGGTGGTGGGCTGCACTCATGGATAGCTTGTCCTAGGGGCGCTAGTGTGCCATCCCTCCTCACTCCCATTGGTCTGATCAGTTCTTTCCTGTTGAAAGAGCAGGACAGAGCTCAGTACTTATGCATGTTGTGTGCTACTTCAGCTTTGCATGTTCACGTCACATGCAAATAAGCGTACAGGGAGATACAACCAGCTAGAATGACCAAGTTCAGTGGAAACTTTTATTTCATTATGTCAAGATTTTCTTTGCACAAAAACTAAATAGTACACAAAACGGAACTGCAATCTATAATTGTTGGACACACACATTCTGCAGTCTAACACTAATCAATTACATTTTTTTTTTTTTTCACATAAATGCTGCTCTTTTAAACTTTCTTTTCATCAAAGAATCCTGAAAAAAAGTATCATGGTTTTAAAACATTAAGCAGCACAACTGTTTTCAACAACATTGATCAATTATAATAACAAGAAATGTTTCTTGAGCACCAAATCAACATCATAGAATGAGTTCTGAAGGATCATGTGACACTGAAGACAGGAGTAATGATGCTGAAAATCCCACTTTGCCATCTCAGGAATAAACTACGTTTTAAATGATATTAAAACAGCAAACAGTTCTTTTATAAATACAAACTCCAGAATGCAGCAGCCGTCATTTACCCTACATATTTATTGTGTTAACACATCTTGTTGATTTCGTTTTTCGGGCCACTAATTTGTCACCACAATCCACCTGCTCTTTGAAAGAAACCCTTTGTACTGTCCATTGTAGCAGCATTCAGTTCTGTCCTCTAAAGAGGCCTGTTGATGTGTAGAACATCTTTCTTTCCCTTTACATCTGGCCACATAAGAGCCCTTGGAATCACAACCCTAAACCCCCCCCCAAATCCCAGAGCGGTCCTGCACCCCCACAACCACCACCTCGGCCCTGCAGTTTAATTACAGGATCAGTGCTCATTCTAATCTCTTCAAAGCCTGGGCAGCTCCTCCACGCTAATCCAATTATATCTGCACTGTGTGTCACCTGCACACCCCGAGATGATTCATCAGAGTATTATCCAATCAAAGCACGGACAAAAATGATTAATAAGAGCATTATCCAATCAAAGCCATCAAATAGCTCATTTGCATTCATTTATGCCATTCATATACAGATCAGCTGGAAACACTTTACAATAAGTTCCCATTAGCTAACATTAACTAAGCTTAATAAATGCTTTAGAAGTATTTGTCAATGTTTGTTCATGTTAGCATAGTTAGTAAATGTCAAACAGAACCTCATTGTAAAGTGTTACAGATAAATTGTGTATAAATGCATAAAGAGGAATTAAATGCTTAAATCTTATATCAAACACTTTTTGAAAAGTTATCTACAAAAATGCGAGGAAACAAATTACTGGCTGTACTGGCTGCAAAGGAACACCTTGACGTCAAACGCAAGTCATGATGACTGTAAACAAGATAAGTCGACTAGAAAGAAAACAGACATTTCCACTGCGTCCCTCGAAAACCAGAAACCAAATTTGATCTGTCATCCAATCAACAGAATCTGCGTAGATCAGCAGCCTGAGCAATTGTGTGTTTGCGTACGTACGTCTGTGTGTGTGTTTGTGTGAATATGGGGTGGAGAGTCAGTACTAATTGGACAGCAAGTCAAGCAGCAGACACAGGGAGGGACATTCCTCCATGGACATGTTGCGTCTCCCCAGCAGCCGTAGCGGGGAGCACCAGTGCCCTCCCTCTCCCACACAACACCTCCTTCATCCTGATAAAAAAAAGAATAGGAGGAAGAGAGAAGGAACGAGGATTCATTCTCAAAGACAGGAATCTGCCTCTCTTGGGCACACGCTGCTCATTACGACTCAAACGCCCTATAGATGGACAATGACTCGTCCTCTTGTGTTTGCAAACTTATTTAACATCACCCGGCAGCTAACGTACATACGCACACCCCTAATTGAGCCAGTGTCTCAAACCACTTCACGTCCGAGGACAATGTCTGGCACCCAGACTGAATAAAACAGGCGGCGTATGAAAGAGTACCACGTATATATGTATTATGAAACCTCAGTGTATTGTACAAAAGAGCCTGAGCCCGCGACCCCACTGTGTGCGCCAATTAGCTGGTAATTAATGCAGCGGGGCTGCGGTGGCCGGTCGGTGTGCATTGACTCCTGTTGAATGTGGAAGGCCAGCTGTAAATGAGGCAGAGGACGATGGTGGAGGATTCTTGCCTTAATGAAGCGGTTGGTAAGGGGCGCACTGGGAGCAACGGCACTACACCTCTCACCGGTGTCTCGCTAGTTTACGCCACCGGTTGTTTAGGAAAAGGTCAACATGAATGCGGCCCTGCACATATCCAGCCTCCAAGGAGGGTGATGAGAAAACAAGCACAATGCTTCTAGCGGATGGAGTCATCTATGAAGGCATTATGAACCGGCCTATACAAGTTGATGAAATACAGAAAGAGTGATTGACTGATATTAATGAGCAAGAGTAAAAACACAATGGCCAGAATATACATTGCAGCAAATAAAATGGAAAAAGTTTGGTTTCATTTCTGCTTATTAAAACATTTTCATTTCTACTTAATGTTAAAGATTGATGGCTTATGCCTGAATAAATCTTAATTTTGGTGTTTAAATTGGATCACTTAAAACAATAAAAAAGAGGGCTTTTTTTTAGGGCTGTGCAATGATTAATGGCATCCAAAATAAAAGTTTGTGTTTACGTAATATATGTGTGTGTGTACTGTGTATAATTATTTTGTATATATAAATACACTACACATTTTTTCTTAAATATATACAGGTGCAACTCGAAAAAATAGAATATCGTGCAACAGTTCATGTATTTCAGTAATTCAAATTAAAAGGTGAAACTAATATATTTAGTATATTATAACTATATACATATGCATGATCATACTTTTCAGAGGACCTTTTTTTTCTTTGATTTCATGAAATATTCTAATTTTCTGAGATTTTGAATTTGGGGTTTTCATAAGCTGTAAGCCATAATCATCAAAATTATAACTTTTGCACGATATTCTAATTTTTCGAGTTTCACCTGCACATGCGTGTGTGTGTGTATATATATATACACAATATTTATATTTCTATATAATACAAATAATATATAAATATAAATACATTCAAATTAATTAAATTATTAAATACAATAATTATTATTAAACAAACTTTTATATTGTTGCACAGCCCTAAAAAAAATTTATAACAAATACAGCTATAATAATACTCTCAACAATAATAGTAATTATAATGCTACAACTATTAATACCGTATTACTAATAATGTTAATTAGTAGTTTCTTATTATTTCAGAATTGTTACTATTTAATCGCATAAATAATTAATTGTAAAAAAAGAAAAGAAAAAAAAAACCCACCTTGATAATTCATCAATCATACTGACAAGCTTCTGGGCTTCATATTCCTTCTGCTCCTCTGTCATCTCATCTATGGGGTTTGGCATTGGGTGCTCTATGTGACCTGTAATGGGGTTAATGCTGAAAAACACGAGAAAAAAACAAAACAAGAATGATTGTTACTATAATCTAAGAATGGAGAAAGAAATGCAGGATTGCTGAGGAAAAATATGACACAATTTCTTAACTTGAACTAAGACCAGCCGTTATGCATACATAAAAATGCACTTACAAAGGTTTGGCTGACTTGTATTCATCAGTGTCAGAGTCTTCATCAGAGGAGTACTGCGTCTCTCCTCTACCTCCGGCCAGCAACCCTCGTGCCATCAACAGCCCCGCAGCATTACCATAACCAGTGTACTTCAACAGATTATCCACTGCATCACATGACCAACAGGAGACAATGAAAAACACAATTAGCTCATTCAATATGAATTATTGTATTTTAGATTACAACTGCAAACAATCCATTTAAAAACAGACCATTTCAGAGATTTAAAAAAAGCAGAACTCTCACCACTCTCTTTGCAGAGCACAAAAAGGAACTCAGCAGCCCCCTGTTTCACTGCCATGTCAATATGAGTCATGAGACGCACCAATTTGTTTCGAACGGTGCAGCCGATTTCTGGCCTTTCCTTCACGTCTTTCAAGGGAGGCAACACCTGCACAGCAGCAAACAAAGAGAACACATTCAATCAGCAACTAAATATTTACTTTAACTGAATATCTGAAGCAGTGAATTACACTGAGCATGGACTCAACCCTGCACCTTGGCCTTGAAGTATCTGCGGATGTCCCTGTGGTATCTCGAGCTCTCTGTCATCAGACTCAGCACAGGTGTCAAGCCTTCTTTATAGTTGGAACCCTAAGTGGATAAATACACATGAAGCATGAACGAACGCAACGAGGAGGAACAGCTGAGGAAGTTTGTAGGGGTTCATCTGAAGTGTAATACCTTGTCTATCCTCTTTTCCATAAAATCTAGCAGCATCTGCACTGTGTCCATGTTCTTCCCACCATACTTTTCTATTCCACCTTGGACAGGGACGTCTATCAGAACATCCAGGCACTGCACGGGAAGGTTACTCAGGAGATTTATGGCATGACTAGAAGAAATGACAAATGATCAGAGGTGTAAAGTCCAGGGGTCAGAAAGTAAAAGTCCTGCCATTGGTTTATTCCACCCATGAACTCAGCCAGCTGATTTCACTAATTATCTCCTGGCTGAAAAACTGTGCTAATTAGCAAATACAGGTGATTGGAACAAAATACTGAGGAGGACTGGACTTTACACCTCTGCAAATGATAAAGATTATGTAGTGCACACAATAAGATGAGAACACAGCATGTAACTCTTGGAATAAGGAACTTTTCTTTGAAGCTGGCCTTTGAGAAGAAAGTTTTCCCTAGAAATTGATACTGTCGGATAACCAACATGCAGAACAATTAATTTACAATAAGTGCAAATAGCCCACCTTGATGGCAGAGGCTATTTACACTAACTCCGCCGACTGACGTTTGGTAAGGCCAGACAAAAATGACAGAAGATGCTGGTTAGTCAACAGTAGCAATAGTGTAGGGGTAAAAAGCACGTGGCAGAAAGTTGACAAATCAACCGGAGTTCGAATCCGCCTTTTGCCGAACTTGCTCTACTCCCTTTTCCCATCACACATCAGTTCATTCATTTTTAATACAAATTAAGAAAATATTTGAAAAGTGGAAATAAAGTGTCTAACATGCGTTTAATAATTACATGTTTATGGGTTAGGGGTAGGTGTAGGTGAAGGTGTAGGGAGGGCTTTATTGTCACAATAAGGCAGCATCAATTTAGTAATTTTATTAAATATAATTATGTATACTGTTATCATTGCATACCGTTTAAAGCACAACAACACTGAGGTGCAAATAGTATCTGCCACTAATTACAAGTATAAATAGCATCTAACTACTATTTACACTTAAATAGCAGCTGCCTTATCATTATTATTAATGTTATTGTTATTTATGCAATGTTTTTGCAATATAAATGGTTTATTTATTTCTAATTGTAAAGCTACATATTTCTCAACTAAGAATGATTGACTTAAGTAAAAAGTTGAATAATTAAACAATACATTAAATACGTTACATCATCTGGGTTTACATTAATGCTACATTAATCGCGATTAATCACACTTATTGTGAAATTAAGCATACACCATTTATCTTGTTTAACACATTCATTTTTGTCATCATTTGCTATATCCAGCAAAGTAAACCATCAGATTGAAGGGTGATTCTCACAAAACTGTTTTCTACAAGCTTTTTTTCAAGGTAAATTTAGGTCTTTCCAAGAAAAAAAACTCGAAATGATACAAGGAGTCCATATAATTCTTAAACTCATGCACATCAAAACACCCATGAATTTTTTTTTTACAGAAAAACACTTTTCAGAATTCAGTGAATGTGTGCAGTGCAACTGCAAAGAGCTTGACAACATTTTAGACAAGTCAAGTTGCGATACTGAACAGGACCACATGGAGATGCCCAAAAAAAAAAACTGCCTCTCACATTGAAGTACCTTGTGCAAATAGAAATAGTAAATATTTGTATGCCACTTTCATTAGTTCATTTTATTATCTTCTCTGACGCAAAAGAACATTCAACATACTCATGTCACGTTCTAGGAATGTGATGGCGGCAGACAAACATGAGCAGGCATTCTGAAAACACTGAGGGCGGGGTGTGTGTGGGGGGGACCTTCAGTCCATGGGCACAATTTGAATAACAAAGACACATCTACTGACCAGGACTGGTTCAGCACATTCAACGCACTTTGTTAAAGGGGGAGCGTAGAGTTAGTCATTTCAGAGTGCTGTAGAATGCATTTAGAGAGGGTAGCATTCCAGGAGTGTGAAAGGGCTGGTGACGGCACCACTGTGGGCACAATGAGTCAAGCCCAAATAAACGGGTGGGAGTTTCAGAATGCGTTGAGCTGTCTCGATGGGGCAAAGGGGTGTGTCATTAATCACTTGGAGAAGACATCTCATCATTCACATTCACCGCACTTGCATTTCTTTTGCTTTCTGGCTCACTGGAATACTGGTTTTAAAGCAATTACAAAATACACAGGCCTAGTATACAAAGAAAACAAAGAGGATTTGTCTGTTAATCTTTCAGAATGAAAGTACCTGTGAGCCTCCTCTGTTTTATCTTCAGTGTGTGTCTTCAGCATTAGGAGATGTCTCATGATGCCTGCAATGAGCCGAAGCTGGTGGTCACTGTCCTATTAAAATAAAGGAGAAATTGTGTGAGCGTTAAACCAAAAAACTGTTTCACAACAATAGCGGACTGATGCCATGTTTGGGCTTCCTTTACAAACAAAACAACCTGAGAGCTAAGAGGCAATGGAGAGATCTAGGGACTGAGAGAACCACTGGCTTGAGAAAAGAAAGTACATCTTGATCCTGACCATACCGAAACCAACAAAAGGTCAGGCAATTGAGACACACTTAGCCTTACTTCAGTAACTATTCAAAGGGCTGAGAACTCTGGAATGTACCAATGTTGTTTCATCTACTTGGTGAAAAGGTGGGGGTGGGAGCTTTTAGCATTTAAAACTAAAAATGTAACATTTTCTCAAAGAAAATGTGAGTGGTTCTTGCCCGTACAAAACTTCCAACCACAATGGTAGGGTGTTGTAGTGGGTGATCAAAATAGCTCACTCACAAGTCTTTATTATTGGTTTCTAGATATGGTTTTGGCCACTCGTTTAATGTGAATCAGTGGCTCCATATCCGAATAGGCTTACTTCCATACTATATAGGTAAATTGTGTCTGAATATAGAAAATAGTTAGTGAAAAATACCCCGATGACCTACTACTTTGGCTGAGATTCTGAATTAGCAATCAGTTTAATTTACTATTCCATGAGGCTATGAGAGAGGAGACGTCATATTCATACTATAAATGGTGGAGAATACAGAGCGCAGCAACGTAGACTCCATACTTAAAGAACATACGTTATCAATGGTTGACAAGTTCTCCAACAAATGCAATGCATACTCTGAATACATAAAATGAAAAATCCTGCACACTGAATTTGCTTTTTAGAGTATCATTCACCAGGTAAAAATTGCACGTTGGATAAAGTCAATGCATCATGCAGTCCTAAGAATGCATCTCAGGACACTGACTGTTTCTATTGAAAACCGGAGCTTCGAACAGCAGCTGAAGTGATGCAAGAACTTAATTGATTTGTGATTGGCTTTTATTTAGAATTTGGAACATATTCTGCCATGTGTTACGCATTGCACTTTCACCTGTTCATATTAATACAAGTGAGCCTTCTTGTATAGTCTTTGGTATAATCAGCCATCATGGTTTTAGTACAAATTGTTAGGCAGGGTTATTATAGTTTCGTCATTAAAACATTTTCATCACTAGCTGCTAAGGCAACATTTCTCATTTTCATTTAGTTTAATTTGATGTACTAACGTTTTTTAATAAATAAAAATATGTAGAGACTATAAACTATACTATAGTAGTCTCTCAACAATAGTAGCATAACACTGTTGCTAGATGACGAAAATAATACTTAAAGGTACAATTTTGTAATAAAATATTGAAAAACCACTTTCACAGTGTAATACATTTCATGCAGTTGTGTACTTACATTATCCCATAAGTTCCCAAGAATTTGTAAATCCAGAGAAATTCCAGTTTTTAATAATGGCTCGTCCCTGGTCATTGTCGCCTATCAATGACGTATTATCCGCGCTATCCTCGGTTTCCGCTTGTAGAAACCATAGATCAATACATAGATTCTTCATTAGCAGCCGTTTCAATCACTGTCTATGGTTTCAATGGGCCGCCGCTATACATAAGCCGCTAAGGATTCTATATATGCACATTTATGATACAATATCTAGCACATCGCTGTTGTGTCATTCAGTCATCATGGTTTATGATTATAGATTGGCGTGTACAGAAAATCCCAAAAAACATAAACAGATCAACTTAGGCAAGCAGGCTTTGGGAAAAACAGAGAAATAAAACAAGGATCAATATCTGTGAGGCGTTTTCAGGATGGGGAGAGCTTCGCAACAAACTTGGACTTGATCTGTCGACAGAGACTCTGCTCTTGCATGTGTTTTAATAGATAGGTAAGCAAATATATATTATTATTTATTGTACACTTCAGTTATATTGCACTTTCTTTGTACTTCAGAAACGCTTTTTATCAAGTCTGGTGACCAAGTCTATGGCAGTGAAATTAAGTAGCCTATGTGTCGCACAAAAATATTTAGCCATTACTTGCAAATATTGTGGGTTTGTTCATGTACTTTTAGTACGATTGTTTTAAACGTGTAAAACTGTGCAGCATTAACCCACCAAATCATTTGACAAATAGTCCCATATTACTAACAGGCTAATATAGCATTACATTTCAAGTTCCTGGCAGCTAATTCATTACGATGACATAAAGTGTGATCAAATGTACAGGTAATACAAAAACTAATTTATTAGCTGATATATAATTTATATGATTCGTGAATTGAATTCTATACATCTCTGGATGGTGAAAACGACATCTCCCATAGTTCCATTCTCCTTCATAGAGTCATCAAGCTTGTCTTTGTTGTTGTTTTAAAAATGCGACCTCTGGCAGTGAAAAAATTACATATTGTAGTTAAGTATGCGTAATAGTAATAGTGATGATATAGCACCACAAATGAAGCCATAACCATCATTTGCTTTCTTTAAAAATGTACAAAGCACTTTAGAGACATTTCAAACACGTTACAAATAGGCTGACACACTGCTGATTGTCACAACAGCTTTATCACTTTAAACTAAATCTAAACATTGTGGATGTCAAACAACAGTGGTTTAATGATCCAGAGACATGAGAATTTTGCCAAAGCTAATGAAAAGAGGCCAATAGAGCATTGAAATTAGATTTTATAAAGCTTGGTGTTAAAAATATTAAAGCCAATGAACCTACGATCTGATTAAGGAGAAAGAAACCTCTGCTGGGGCCAAGAGCACCGACTCCACTCAGCAAGCATCAATTATTCAACAGCAGTATAACAGGAAACCTAAGCCCTGCATTATCCTCCATTCTGTTTTTGGTGTGAGATACACATGCGATTTAAATGTAATTCATCTTTGGAAATTATTTACAGTGCTGCTTTCTTCAGGTTAATTCTGGTGTACTGCATAGTATACAGTATGGATGCAAGGCCTAAAACTAACTTTTTGCCACACCTGCCAATGGTGATACAACAGCTAAAAGTACTAGCCTAACAAATACAAAATTAAAACATAATTAAAGACAAATAAACAGTCAGTAATAGCACAAACAAAAACATCAGAACAAAGATACAAATTAAGTAAACTGTGCTATTCAGGTATGTTTTTCAGGTAGGTTTAACAGTATATGAGGAGCCTCAGGTTCAGAAATTTAGTAATTTAGTAATTCAGAAAAAAGTAATCAAATGTAAAATACCGCTGCGTAGTCTTTACTGTATAAATTAAACAGATTAATCCTTGACGAACATTTAAAAAGTTATTCAGACAAGAGCAGTGAGTGATTTTCTCTTTTGTTGTTTGATTAACATTAACGACACATACAGCAGCAGGATTATTAGGATGCTGTCACTTTAAGACCTGCACGGATCCAGTATATTGGATCTGATACTGTACACAAGCGTTTTCTTTCTCGTGAGTCGTGACGATGCAACACCGGCCCGTCAAACGTTCCAAGTGTCGTTCATGTTTGTTCACCTTCATGTTCTCACAACATTGCAGAGTTAGAATTTATGAAAATTACAGCGGCAATTCGCCTTTGGCAAAGCCACACCCTAGAATGTAGATTGACCAATCACAGCGCAGCCAAGAACGAGCTCCCACAGAGGTCCGACACTTTTTCACAGCGCTACATTGACTTTAACACAGGCGTCTCATATTTTTGGTCTCGGCAGGCTATTACCGTCGTACTTTTATGAAAAATATGGTTAAACGTTGTGCCTGGGGCATTTGTAACATACGTAACACATAGTGTCGTCTAGCACACGCTGCTAATAAATACGTTATACTCGCGTAGTCCGTTTGCTTTGTAATAACGGTTATAGAAGTGAATAGAGACCTACCCAGCTTTGCATGAACAGTGTTGTTCCTTGATATTGTTAGTCTCAGTCTCCGTCTCGATTAGTAGGATATGCGGTGGTTCATTTTTTGACTGTGACCGGTATGCTTTTGCCTCTATTTGGATGCCTTGTTGTTCCTTGCGTTTCACCTGTATGTCGTGAATATAGCCTTCGAACGTATATTGCAGCCCTTTTGCCTACTTCTATCGGACACTTTATTTGCTGCTTTATAAAAGTTTGATAAAATTTCAGCAGGAAGAGCTGTCACAGCATAAGCCATGTTGATACCAGAGCCCAGATGAAGTTTGTTTGTCGGACGTAGCAACAGTAACTAAGGGGGGCGGGGCTTAGCCAAAGGCGAATTGACACTGTTTTAACTTTAGGCTCTGTGTATCATAAAATAGACATAAAATGTTATTTTGCTGTTCTACAAATACTGTTAATCTCACCTCATCGCTCGAATCAGACATAGTGATGTTGAACAGTGCTTTAAGGGCTTCCATGGCATGATCGTTGTTTTCTGGTGAAATAGGCGGGGCTTCTGGATCAGGGGGCGCAGCCTCATATGGCCCCACCCAACGCACGTCGAGGGTGCGTTCCAGCACGTTAGTGAGCAGCCTGACTGCACCCATCTCCCTCCGAAGCGTGCCACGCACATCTGTCCGCAGGGCGGAAAGCAGAAAAAGCAGCCGAAGGGAGAACAGGCCCACCTCATGATGGGATGAGTTGACCGATTGCAAGCAGGCACAAAGGCCCTCCGCCAACTGCAAGTCAGCTCCCACCTGTTGTGCCGGCACGCTGTTGAACACCACATTGCACATGCACTTGAGGGCCTCCACCACAACCCTCTCTTCCTCTGCTGACTGCGCCAACTCTAATGGCTCTCCGTCGTGTCCCGCCACACAGATCCGGGCCAGCCCTGCTAGAGTGAGGATGCCCTCTCTGGTGCCTACGGGACCAAGTACACGCTTGTCTCTGGACAGGATGCGCAGGGTCTCTAGGCAGGTGCTTTGGCAAAGTGGAAGATCTGACCGGCGGAGAACTGTGAGAAGACCCCGACACAACTCCTGCAGAAGGGAGGTTAAAAAATGTCATTGATCGTTATAAATAAAACAAGGTACTCCATACCGAAACAACACAGAACACATCATACTGAGATACAAAACATAATAGACCATAAATCTGTTACTCACAATTCGTGCATCCTCCTCTTTGCGGTCAAAAGCGAACGTGTGGCAGTTCTGAAATTAAATGAAAACATGACATGAGATGATATAAATCTGGGATAAACAAGTCCCATGTTTGCATCCTTGTAAAGTCATAGAGTAGCCAGACATGAGTAAAACAGTTCACTAATCCTGCTGTAAAATTCTAGCTGGTCTAAGCTAGGGACACCGCTATGAAAATTTTGGCCGATGCCGATACCGATAATTCTTTATATTTTAAAGCCGATGACCGATATATTGGCCGATAAATCTAAATCCAATTTTTTATATAATTTTTGAGAGACTGATTACAAAAACAAAAGTCTCACCATTAAAAGCCATGCCCCAAGCACACAATTATAATGTTTTCATTATAATTTTATGTAAGATGGCCGATATGACAGACTTGCTCATGTTACACGTTTCCTTTTTTGGAAAGTTATTCCGATCATATTTCAAGCAATTCAAAACCATCATGGCAAACAGTGCGCATCAGAAGGAAATAATACATTATTTATCAGCCTTAATATAGCGGCAAATTTTCTTATCAGGCCGATAACAATAATATTACAAATTTGCATAGATCGGCTGATAGATACCAATACGGTGGCCGATATGTTGTGCATCCCTAGTCTAAGCTAGTTGATCATCTATGAAATTCCATAATCAAGCTTGACCACATAAAGGCAAGACACTACAGGCAAAACCACTGTTTTTTAAATGCACTGGTCTATTTAGAGATTTGGGGATATTATAACAGATTATATTAAATATGTCAGTGCCATTGTTTTTTTCTCAAGATGCAAAGTTTACCAGTAATGTTTTTTCTAAACCCTGTCAGGGAAACCAGCCTATAATCTATTAGCCTCTGTAGATTTCAATTAAAGTATATATGCTTAAAGGCAGTTTAAAAGGGAGTTTCCTCATGCACAGATTCAGAAATCTCCACTTCAGTAACACTTACATACGCCAAACTTTACCGTTTTAATTATAATAATAAAAAATAATTTGTGTCGCTGGTCTAAGATGGTCAACCAACCAATGGCTAACTTAAACCAGCTAGAAACCAACTAAGTTACCATGGCATGGTCCAAAATAAAGCTAACTTACCATTTTAAGATGGATTTACCAACAATACATCTGATTTGATGAATTTAATTATAATTAGAATCACAGTAACAGTATCGGTCTCTTTCTAAAAACTGTTAACTAAATGTGGTTTATTTAAGCATGTCTCGAGGAATAGGTAAAAATTACAGGAGGTTACAGGAAAATCCTGTAACGTTACCCTGGAGATTTCCTCCAAAACAAAAACAAAATTAGCATAACATTTCGACATCATTAAAATCATTGTAAACACCGAATATATGGCTAAAATTGCTGTTCACACCAGCATAATTCATACAGGCATGTTTCGTTGATAAACTGGCAGTAAAATATTTCCAGTAGTATTTTCTGCTGTTAAGTTAACGTTAACGTTACCTGTCTGACATCTGTCAAGCTAGCTACTTTAGCCTTCCATAACTTCGTGACGTAACTTAACCAAAACAACAGTTCATTTCTACTCTATTCGTCAGCAAGTACCATTTCCCCCCTGCTCATTCGTGGGGGCAAATATGGCATTTTTGTTTAAAAACAGTCAAGTTGGATGTAGCAAATAGGTTCTATCATGGCTAACAGCTGGAGGATGCTAGTTTACGATCAGAAGGCGAACGCCTCGTGGCTTTAATCATCACTAAATACAAATGAAGTACATGTTTAAAGGTCAGAAACAAGGCATTTCTTTTCGCAGAGACCATAAACCTTTTTGTTGGTTCACACACACTGGGTATATTGATATTAGCGAGCGGCTAACGTTAACTGGCTAATATCCACTTACATTGCTAGCGCACATTAAAACAACATGAGATAGTAACGTTAAGTTAAGCTAACAGCAGCCACTTTACCTCTGTGTTATACTTCTGCAAAAGCTTTTCAACCTCCTTGTCATCTCCACCGTCGATCTCTGATAGAATAGCACTTAAACTCATCTCTGAATGTTGCTTTTGCCGTTCACTTAGAAACACTGACAGTCCTTCTCACAACAGAACAGATGAGAGTTACACACCTCCTGTTTTCGCTTATCTGTTCAACTTTCACCCGTCAAACGTCACGTTTCTCGCCTAAGGCACATGCCAGTAATAAGGATTTCCTCAAAGCTCCCTGGATAGTGTCCAAATGTACCAGGTCCAGGTCTTATAATAATATTCATTGTGTACACACTGGAAATGTTATGGTGGCAGTCCTGTTCCGACAAGACTATAAAACTATATCCTAATATAATTTAAGATGGTAGTTTTACATCATTGGGCTGACCAGCAAAAGAAAGAAAAAAACTATTCAAACTGGTTAGGATGGTTAAGCATGTTATATAACGTGAAAGCTGGTCAACCAACAAATGACCAGCTTGGACTTAGACCAGCTAGAAACCAGCTGTTCCAAAAATACAGATGGACTTTCCAACAAGTAATAGACTTTTTCTGTCTGCAGTATTATTTTGCATTATGCAATATCATATTAACTATCTCTTCTCCCTCTACATTTCATTAAAATGTCTTTTTTGAATGAATACTAGAAATTTTTTTTATAGTGTAAGATGTAAATGGTCACTGCACAAAATTAATGCAGGCAACAATTTGCAGTGATACATTCACAAATAAATAATACATATAATTACATTTAGAGTTGAATTATCAAGATGTGACCATTTAAAAAGTGTAATTCAGCAGATTAATCTGATTTTTAGACTCTTCAGTGCTGGTTTAACAAAGTAAACTATTCAAAACTTTAAAAAGTTTAATAGTATCTGATTAGAGTATGATACCTGTCAGTAATTTATAGCTAAATATGTATAATGAATTTCTTAATATATATATATATATATTTAAAACATAATAGACATTTCAAGTAAAAAAGAAAAAAAAACACAAATAATAAAAAGACAATACAAACTGGGTTTTAAAAAATCTTTATGTGGCAACAAATAATTCCACATATATCATTTAAGTAACAGCTGTCACCACAGAAGTTACTGAGTGCTTTTATTTACAAGAGAAAGTGACTAAAGATAATAAATGTTACATTTTCATATTCTTTCCTTTTTATTCCTACCCATAGGGTAATAGGTCCACAGTACCTTTGAGTGCATTCAAAAACACACAAACCTAGGTTAACACTTTTCGGTTTCCTAAATCATACAAAACTGGATATACAGGTCAAACAGATAAACAATGCAAAGGGACACAATGTTACAAAGCTACAGAAAAGATCTCTAATATTCCCCCAGGATCACACTGGGGTAATTCTGCATTTGTGTAATATGAGAAATCTTCTGTTCACATTCGCATGCAACAAGTATGTGAGTTGCCCTTATTTGTTTAGACTCCTATGACGTTCGCAACCTGGCAGCTGGCCAATAGGGCGTTCTGAAGTGAAATATTAAGGCATTTCTTCTTGGTGCTGAGAATGTGTTATGCTAGGAAAGCAGCACACTTTGATGTTGACAGGGGCTGAGAAAAAAAAAACCTGTGGTATTGTTACAGATCATTTGACGTCAAACACCCAACCTGTGGTGACAGAATGCTGTGAGGTGCGCATTTTTACACTGAAACGAGGTCAGCGAACAACATTTTTGCACAGTAAATGACAGTACACTGGTCTATAATGTTTAAAGAGATAAATGAGAAAAGGCGAGGAAAGGCACAACTGGGACACTGCCTTTTTGCACTCACACAATGATTGCGATTCGAAAAGAGTTTCATTGGCAGCTTACACTGTAAACACTGACCACACCAATAAAAACATCTCTGACACAATGTCATTTCCACTCAAATACATTCTCTGTAATTAGGTTAAATATTGGCGGCTGCTGTTTTATCTGTTCAGCTTTCCACACGCAGACATCTGTTATCTTGGACGAAGACTCTCGGAAGTGTACACTCATTTTGCCCACCCGGTTGTGGCCTCCCCATTGATATAGGCAAATCCTGGAAAATGTTGCGCATGCTCATATTCAGAGTTCCTGCGTGGGGCCAGAGGGGAGTACATGTCTCCGGTGGAGTAGCGTGACGTGTGGACTGCGGGGCTGGTGTAACAGCTGTTGGCTGAGGGCACGTCTGGCCAACGGGGGGTCACAGCGCTCGAGTGTAGAAGAGGAGACCCACTCATCAAACAGGACTCCATTCTGGACATCTGGCTGTTGAGTGGATACTACAAATCAGAGAGAGACATGCATGAGGACCATTGCAACAAAACACAAGTGACTTAAGTTGTGCATTCTGTAAACGATCTCATCTTCCTTCATGTTAAAGGGACAGTTCACCCAAAAATGAAAATTTTGACATTTACTTTACCACACCTGTATAAGTTTCTTTCTTCTGTGTAACACAAAAGAAGAAATTTTAAATAATGTTGGTAGTTGACAGTAGCCATTTGTGTTCAACAGAAGAAAGAAACTCATACAGGTTTGGATAAGTATAATACTTGGACCAACTGGCTAAACAGGACATAAATTCATCCCCTATGTTATGCATTCAATAAATCTTTTTGGCTTTTTTTTTTGTTATTGTTAAAATTATGATGCAAGACTATCTAATAATCAACTAAAAGTGCAGCAATTCACCATCATTTGTACTGGTAAAATAAAATAAGAAAGCTAAGTTAACATAGCACTTAGAAAAAAGGTATTTTTGTTGCTGTGGGTAACAGTCTAAAAACAAAAACTGAGCATGTCAGCTCAAGATATGTCTAAATAAAACAATCTGTTCTCTCTGGGGAAGTCAACAACATCTTCATTTGTCTCCTCTCCATTGCCTCCTTCAGAATAGCTCTCTTGAACAAAGTGTGGACATTGTATCCATTTTAAGTTGACGGAAAATAAGTGGAAGTAAAAATCTATAAGTGCTCTCTAAATAGAAACTGTCCACAGTCAGAGCTTTTATGAACGGCTGCGGCACGGAAAAAGAAAGTCAGGCGGGGTCAGAGACCTAGATGTGTTGCTTGGTGACCTCTTGTTCATGCAGATAAAAGAGACCATTGAATAACAATATTTTAATAAACACGCTTTTCCATCTGGATTTCCGGCCACTAGTTGAGTTGTCTGAGACGGTCATTGAGTGGATGGTAGAAAGACATTGGGTGTGTGTGAGTGTGTGTGTGGCTCTCTTGGCTCTAGCTGGTCCACTTTTCAGAGGCTGCATCCGCTGTGTGGAGGAGAACTCTGAGGACCAGCTGATCCCCCATTACAAAGGCAGGCTGGACCAGAGAGCTCTTGACAGGAAATTACCATCACACCCGCTTTGACTTTCAATATATGTGACCAGACCCACTCCTCTCCATCCACAACTGAACAATTTAATTCAACTATTCACACTCTCTCAATCTCAAGCACAATAAAGACTACTTAACATTCAACTATTCCCTCAGTTTCGGAACTAGTAACATGCAGCATGTACATTTTGTATACACTTAGTATATTTGCATGCAACAATGCAATGCTTGTCCACAATTCAGTATAACTACTCCTAAAGTTTTCAGGCTACATCTACTAAATTTGGCACAGACCTGCATCCTGTTCTTAGTGTGCTATATCTTTTCAAACTGGTCGGGCGAACGGTTTTCCTGTATCTGATAATTAAAAAGCTCATAGATATCTGTCTTTTTTTCTTTCTTTCTTTTAAAGTTTAAACTAGCACCCAGAACAAACTACTCCATTATTCAAACTCCACATCCTTCAAACTTAAAATATATAGGCTAATACTCACTATATACTTTAAAATTCAAATATTCAAACATTCCAGGTATTCCAACTACATAAGGCCTAGATAAGCCTCAGACATCAAGGGAATTTTAACGTTTAAACAAGGCTTTTCCGGACCAGTATTCAAAGTTGACCTTTTATAAATATCTGCATGGAAAATGTTGCTTTGGCTGATTCATGCTAAAGTAACGGCAGCATTTTGAGATTTAGCGAGTGTTGTTTTCATCAAACTTTAACCCAGCAGTTTAACCCAGCAGGTTTAACAAAGACAATTAACTGAGCTTTTCCACCTTTGTTCTCTTTCAGAAGTCAATACACTTTAAATACATATGCTAAATGACCAGTATTTCTGATCAGGAGGAGTTCAGCCTATTACCCCAGTGTGTGCTGAGGTAAGCAAGCATTCTCTATCCATAAAACTCTGTGGATAACAGTTAAAAGAACATTTCAGATGCTAATGACTGTAATACATCAACCACCTTTCACATTCACAGTATGTACATAGTATTCTTCTCTCAGTTACAAACCCAGTAAAAGAGACTAGAATACACTAAATACTAAAAGAGGATAGAATACACTTCCACACCAAATACTGGGGAATACACATCCATTTCCATCTGTAATTATGTTTACTTTCTTAATACTCATTCCTAGTCTTATTGCTCATGATTCATCTGCGAAAAAAATCTTTGCTTTTGTAGTCTTTAATCAAGAGATTTTACTCTGAAACTTCCTTTTTTAGATGGTTGATAAAATCAAGTCCCATCTAATATGTTTTCTCATTGAAAATTGGTTGAACATGCAATTAATGCACGTGTAAGCCTTTTCTGACAAAGCCAGTTTTTCCCCCTATAATTATGACATAAAAAGTCATCATTTTGACATAAGTCATCAAAATTTTAATAAAAAGTTTTATACAGAATTAGGTCATAACTATGAGAAAAAAGTCATAATTATGACACAACTATAGGTCATAATTATGAGATAAAAAGTTGAATATTTGTCAATTATGACTTTTTGCCAAAAATATAACTTAGTTTATCAAATTTTCGACATTTTATCTTCAAATTATAGCTTAGTATGTCAATTCTGACTACTATAAATCATAATTATGAGATAAAAAGTTTAAATTGTGACATAAAAATACTTTTTATGTTATAATTAAGGGTTTCTCAATTTTGACTTTTTATCAATTAATATGGCTTAATTTTGACTTTTTATGTCAAAATTATTACTTTTTGGGTCATACTTATGATCTATCATTTAATTTGATTTAATATTTTTTCCCTTATGTATAGTGGAAATGGCCGTTAACTGAACTAATGTGAGTTTAATTG